CCCCCCGGCAGGTGCTGGGTCTTGACATCATGTCGTCCGGCCTCTTCTCGGTGCTGCCCTGGGTCACGATGTCCGTCACGGCCAACTTCGGCGGCTGGCTCGCCGACACGATGGTGTCGCGCGGCGTGGCGGTCACCACGGTCCGGAAGGTCATGCAGTCGGTCGGCTTCCTGGGGCCGGCGTTCTTCCTGTCGCAGCTGAACCACGTCACGTCTGCGGCCGGCGCCGTCGCCTGCATGATGGGCGCGCAGGGCCTCGACGCGTTCAGCCAGAGCGGGCTGTACTCCAACCACCAGGATATCGGGCCGAAGTACGCGGGCGTGCTGCTCGGGCTCAGCAACACGGCGGGCGTGCTCGCGGGCGTGCTGGGGTCGCTAGCGACCGGCCATATCCTCGCGCACGGCACGTGGAGCGACGTCTGGAACGTCGCGATCGCGCTGTACCTGGTGGGCATGGTGATCTGGAACCTCTTCTCGACGGGCGAGCGCATCTTTGACTAAGCGCGCCCAGCTGGGCCCGGCCAGGCCGCTGCGGTCGGTGCTCCGGTGGTGGGGCGCCCCCGTGGTTGGTTGCACGGGCCGGGCCGCATGTGCGGGCGGCTGTGGACCCGCCCTGCGCGTGCTGCGCGGGCGGGGGCGGCAAGCGCTGCCCTGGTAAGGCGCGTTGAACTTTGCGGGCCAAAGGGATGCAGGTACACCGGGGTCCCAGGCGCAATCCTGCAGGATCGCGTCCGACGCCGCGCAGCAAGCCCACTTGTGCTGGCCGGTCGAATCAATGAATTGACATGCGCCGCTGCCGCAGCATACGCACGCACAGCCAAATTCGTGCTGTGGCGTCGATGCAGGGCTGTGCGCTTTTTGGGTTGACACAGGCGCGGTTGCAGCGTGCCCTGCAGCCACGTTTCTCTCGATAGTGTCGCTCGGGTCTTCTTGGCTCCTGGGACAGGTTGTCTGCCCTGGCAAACTGGCTTTTTGACGGGTTTGTAGCCTGTAGTCTACGCCGCATGGGAGCACCCTGCATCCAGCAAACATTACTGCCACCCGTCGAGGTGCCCCGCGGTCAGCCCTGCAGGCGGGGCCACGGGGGCTGCGGCAGCAGCCCCGGCAGCACGACCCACCCTTTGACTTGTAGATCCCATTTTTTGCAACCCGCCGCCCATCCCTCCCCATGCCAAGCACGCAAACAAGCTTGCCTGCGTCCCGCTTGCTGCATCGCCAGTCTGGCGGTCATCGGCGCGAGCCCTCGGCGCGCGCCGCGCGGCTCGCCTCGGCCTGCTGCAGCGGTTTGCGACCACCCGCTGCTACTAATGGTCCTTGTCTGGGTGCCCGACCTACATCCCCCCATTTTGAGGCGCTTTTTGCGCCTGACGATGCATCCGGCTCTTCGGCCCGCCGCGCGCAGCGGCGAGACGAATGGCGTAGTGGCTTGTAATCGGTCTGCAAGCGTTGATGAAGCGCTCGCGAGCTCCATCCTAGTGATGGGCACCAGCAGCCGCAGCCTCTTGCTGCTAAGCGCACAGAGCCCCATTGATGTAAGGAGTGTCACAGTGGGTAGTGACACATTTCAAAGTTTTTGAAGCTCAATGCAGCACCCGAATTGTTTGTGGCGCAAACAACAGTGTCAGGCCTCAGCAACAGCGACACTCAGCCTCAGTCTTCAACTGCCGACAGCATGATTTGGCAACGAGCAGTCAGCGACGACTGTGCGGTGCTGTGCAGAACATGCGTGTGCCAGCAAGCAAGCATCGATGCACATACCCACCCTCTTCATCGGAACATTACCTACAACTGGGCCCACCTGCCAGTCTGGACACGTGATTGAACCCCGCATGCGCAATTGTGCCCGTGCGCTTCTGCCATGTGGGCAGGCAACAGTACGCTGTGGAGCGGGCGTGTACTTCTGAGTGTGACGGCTTGCAAGACCACCAAAGGCGTGCAGTAGTTCCTTAAATTAAATTTGACAGCCCATTGTGGACTCCACACCCTACAAAGCTTGAGTTGCAAGCATGTCGCCCTGATACCTTGCCACACGGCTCACTCAATATGTGGGGGCAACACAGTCGCCTGATCTCCAAGCATACTGCCCCTTCTGCAACAGCACTAGACACTGCCGAATGCCCGTATGCGGGGGGCAAGGGCAGCAGTCATCACACAGCAGTGACTGCTCCATGTGTGGCTGACAGCGCCGTCACGTTGCTGCTTGACTGGAGCAGGTCAGTCCAGGTTGTCCTGCAACCGCCGTTATGACTCCCAAAGATGAAATTGCTGCTGCCAGTATTGCGGTACGCCGTCGAAAGGTTCGAGCGTTGCAGTCCAGCCAGATAGTTTGAGCATTCACAGCGAGTAAAACCTTCTGGCAGCTCCCCACAGTGCTCCATGCGTGCACATGTTATAAACAAGTGCAAAGCATCTTGAATCTCCAGCGCTCCCTCCACCCAAGTGCCTCCCGTCCCGCATGTCCCCATCCTCGCACCCCAGGGTAACCCCTTCCCTGGTGCCCTTCACCAGACCTGGGGTGGCACCAGGGCGACGGATGATAATCCGCAAAATCTGGGGTTGCAAGTCCAGTAATAGGGTGCACGGTCCCAACATACTGGGGCAGTGCTGCATGATCGAAGCTTGTGGCGAAGCGATAGATCGCATCGAGACGACGTCGATCGACAGTCTTACAGGCGGCGTCGCTGGTACATATAATTTCCTGCATTGCTGCCTGTGACCTTGCCGTACCCGAGGCCATCACCATGGCTCCTGCGGTGGCCTTGCAGCAGTGCGGGGAGCCGATCAAGCCCAGGTATGATTTGAAATAGCTTCATTTTGAAATTGATATCTGAACGAGATGCATGCACGCCCTCCAGAGCCGGTGTGGCGCGTGCTCGCAGTCGCTTCGTACCCGCTGCGCGCCTGCAATCAGGACAGCGCCATTGGCCGCGGGCAACCCCCACAGGTGTGATGAGCTCTCCTACCGCATCCTGTCCCTTGACAACGGCCTTCGCGCCGTGCTAGTCTCAGACCCAGAGACTGACAAGGCGGCAGCCTCCCTAGATGTCCGCGTGGGCAGCATGCTGGACCCGCCGGGTGGGTTGACATGCTGAGGTGCAACCGCGGGCGTCGAACCAAGAAGCGTCCGTCTTGAGCGATCGAAGGCAGACGCACGCGTCTCTCATGCATGCGGCGGGCACTCAGGCCGACGGTGCCGCCTCGGCGGCGGCAGTTGCACTCGTGGTCGCGCCGGGAGCTTCCCAGGGAGGCGCGCCGCGCGCCTCCTGACGATCCGCGGGCCCGCACCCCTTGACCCTCAAGACGAGCAGTGAAAGCCGCCACGACTGCACTCGGTATTGTCATTTCCACCCATCATTTGCGCTTATTCAGAGCTGCAGGGCCTGGCGCACTTCCTGGAGCACATGCTGTTCTACGCAAGCGAGAAGTGGGCCGGGCGGGCTGAGGGGGCTGGGGCCGGGCCGCGCGGCGACGCGACGCTGCGCCGCCAGCGCCCTCGCTGCTGCTGCTGCTGCTGCTGCTGCTGCTGCCGCCGCTGCTGCCGCCGCTGCTGCCGCCGCTGCTGCCGCCGCAGCCGCTGCTCGTGCCGCTGCTGCTCGTGCCGCCTAGCATGTTGCATGTATACGGGAGGGCTCCGAACGTAGTCATGTTCCTTTTTTCTCCCCCACCTTGCATGCCCCTCAACAAGCAGGTACCCGCTAGGTGCGCACGCCATCCTCCAGCTGACGCAGCCGGCTCGCCGCTGCTCCGACTGACGCAGCAGGGCCCGCGCCGCTCCGGCTGCGTGCGTCGCACTCGCCGGTGCAGGGGCGTCGGTGCTTGCCCCGCCGCGGTCACGCACTCGTTAATCTGGCCCACTATTACAGTACACTGGCACCACCTCCCCCCTTTCCGGGCCTCGCCTCTTCCGCAACACTCTACTAGAGGACGAATACTCAAAGTTCATATCCGACCATGGCGGCCACACCAACGCGTTCACGGCCGCCGAGGTGCGCGCGGCGCGCGGCGCACGCCTCGTCGACGGCCGCCCGGCCGCCCCTGCCTGAACGGCTCGCCTCCTCATTTCGCCTGCACGGGAGCTCTCGCCCAGCGCATGTGCGGCTGCACAAAAAACCAGGCGCACCCGTTGCAGCCCCCGGGCCCGATTCAGGCTCTCCTGCATTCCTCCCTTGTGTAAGTGTGTTTGTTGGGCGCAAATTCCTTTCCGCAGGACACCAACTACCAGTTTGATGTCAACGCGGACAGCCTGGAGCCGGCCCTGGACAGATTTGCGCAGTTCTTCATATGCCCCCTCATATCAGGTGAGGCCGGGGGCCAGAGTTGATGCATGCGTGTGGGTACGCTTGTGTATGGTGGGGGGGCCTGGTGTGTGTGTGTGTGTGTGCATGAGCACGCCATGTTGAGGAGTGTCATGGGATGGGGAAAAGCTGCATTGCAGGTTTGTGGGGAGTTGCGGGGGGACCAAGGCAGGCGTAATGGCATCGAGCGCCTTTTTCGGGGCGCGCAGTGACCTCACCTGGGGCTTTGCAGGGCCCACCTGCCGCCTGGCATCATGGCGCCCACACCCCCACTGGCGCACGCAGCCAGCAGCCCGTCCGGCTCAATCCCCTAATGCACTCCCGCAGCCTCACCCCAGATCTTGACCTTTTTTGCGCCCCCCTTCTGCCCGCTCTCGGCCCCATCTCAACCCACACGCGGCTTGGCCCCCCGCAACCTTGACCCCATCCCGCCCCATCTCCCCCGCTCACCCCTTGCCCCAAACACACACACGCACACGCGCACACACACACACACACACACACACACACACACACACACACACACATATTCACACACACACACACACGCAGCCGACGGCGTGGAGCGCGAGATCAAGGCGGTCGACTCGGAGCATGGCAAGAACCTCGTCGCAGACGCGTGGCGCCAGCACCAGCTGGCCAAGCACACCGCCAACAAGGGCCACCCCTACGCCAAGTTCTTCACGGGTAACCTGGAGACGCTGATGACGGCGCCCACGGCCGCGGGCGTGGACGTGCGCGCGCGGGTGGCGGAGTTCCACGCGCGGCACTACAGCGCCAACCTGATGCGGCTGGCGGTGTACGGAAAGGAGGTGAGAGGGGGATGGGTGGGGGCGCGCGTGCGCAACCGCCATGCCCTTGCCTTTTGGAGTTGGAGGGGACGCATGGGTGCACCCCCTTGCAGTGGAGGCAGTGCGCGCGGCCGAATCCACAAGGCTTCAGCAATAGCTCCCCTTACCTCTGGTCTTGGGTATGTCTCAAGCCCCCCCTTGTCGCGAGCTGATACCGCGACGTCCACTCGCTCCCGCGACGTGCCTGGGCCCCACCGCACTTCGCGAAACCCCTCTCTTTGACACCACCCCCCCCCCCTTCCTCTGCTTCGCCCCATTAAACCGCCGCCGCCGCCGCCCTAGACCCTAGACGAGCTGGAGGCCATGGTGCGGTCGCAGTTTGGGGCGGTGGCCAACAACAACCTGCCGGTGCCGTCGTTCCCAGAGGGTGAGGGCGACCCACGCACGTGCGCCGTTGGCGCCCTTGGCGGTGCGACCAGACCGGCCCCGCGGCGGCGCCCGCCAGGTTGACGGCGTGATTCCGCGCGCGCAAGGGCGTCAGTCCCCCGGCCCCTGTTCAGTACCCGCCTGTCCTCCTTGCCCTGCCCCATCGCCCCGCCAGTGTGATCCAGACTGCCCGAAATCCGCACCCCCACCCCCCAATCCAACCCGCCACAAACACACACACACACACGCCACAAACACACACACACCATACACACACACAAACACACACACACACACAAACACACACACACACAAACACACACACCATACACACACACACATTACACACAACACCTTATGCACTTCCCCCAAGACGTCTTCCTGTCTGAGCACCTGGGCTGCCTGCTGCGCGTGGTGCCCGTGAGGGAGGGCCACGTGCTGCAGATGGACTGGGACACGCCCCCAACAGACAAGCTCTACAAGCAGGTGCGCGCGAGACGTGCACAGGGCGCATGTGTGTGCCATTGTGTGTGTATGTGTGTGTGTGGCTGAGTGTGTATGGCGTCACCGTGATTTGCCTCAGTCGTGGCCAACCCTTGCTTTGAATTTATGCTCACGCAACGCCAGCTGCGCCTGCTTTGCTTTTGCAGCCCTTCCCTTTGCTGTCAAGTCCCTATTGACCCCTGCTTTCCTGCCATGCCTCCTGCCCTGCGCGCATTCTTTTTTCCAAACCCAGGCGCCCAGCAACTACCTGTCCCACCTACTGGGCCACGAGGGCGACGGCAGCGCCTTTGCGCTGCTCAAGGCGCGCGGCCTCGCCAGCTCCCTCAGCGCGGGGGAGAGCGGCAACAGCATCAGCAGCAGGTGGG